GGCGGCACAGAGGCTCAACCTGTCCTCTAAGAGACGTCGCCGTCATGGCGGGGGCTCAGCAACAGCCGACGGTTCACAGTCGGCCGCGGATGGTCCGGTGTTCGTGACCCGCTACGCCGAGCTCCTCCGGGACTCGCCTCCTGCCGTACCGCCGGCCCTGCTCAGGGGTCTCAGCCGCAAGGACACCGGCCTCGGAAAGGTCAGTCGGCTTGATCCCGCTTTTTTATCGCTCGTTTAAGTAAAAGCGCACCCTGCTCCGAGATTCTTCAACAATGGGCGTGTTGGCTACCCTGTCCGGTAGATTCATACTCTCTCCGGCCTTGTGAGACTTTCACATTTGATTGTCCGAGATGCTGTCCACCTGGGAGGACAACATCTCAGGTACGGCAGTATAAGAACTGGTTTTCTAGCAGGGATGAAAAGTGCTCGCTAGGTTCTCTCGACCAGCTCCACGAGCCACGAAGGGCAGTGGAATCCTAAATGAAACCCCCCACACCCATTCTCCTGGAAGCCTTATATCCAATAAGTGTTTTCACTACTATTACTACTGCAGATGGGTGTGCCACAAATAAGGCGGCGGCTATTCTTTGGCTCTCGAGCATTTTGGGTGAAATCAACAGCGTATACAATGTTCGAAATGTAATTGCAATTCAGTTTATCAAAGTAACATGAAAATTGTTAACAAACGTTTTCTGCTACTTTTGCGCTTTCTTGGGCTTATACCTATTAACCAATTGTCTGGATTCTGTTCTGTTCTTTACGATAAGGTGAGTTCTGCGCAGACAAATGTATCGGCAGACTTTGTTTTCAGAACAAAAGAAGACGATTTTGGGGTAAAGGTAGAGCCGACAGCACGCTTAACACAAATGCCCCGCAACGTGCCATGAAAAGCTGCTTTCTCTGATGCCAGCCGCGAAGCGCTGGCCTCCTTTTCCGACGTTGTACACGTCAGCATGCCTGGATATTATGTCGGAATGCAGTGGTTACATGTAGACAGCAGGAACCATAGCTAAGAGGCGCTGTCTTCCATCAAACCACCTCTAGTCCCTCTGTTGAGCGTTCGTATTACACCTGCTGATGGCTCTACTCCACACAATGTAGGGTTTAAAAAAACGAATTATTGTAGCGTGATAAGTGGTGCACTGCACAATCGGAGGACAGTAAGCCGTACCATGGTGTGTGCGTGGTTCTCCTTTGGGGTGGGGGGATAATGTTTTACAGCAGTGCCTTCTTCGGTCTTGACCACTGGAGTGGCGCCATTCGTCGAGGAAAAGAAGCTTCACAATGGATTCAACAATGCAAATAAAGCGATTTTTAACATCACTCGTCATGGTCCCCGGATATCGAAGGATAAAAGAGTAAAGTTGTGGAAGAAGCAGTTTTTCGAATGCAACATCAAGGTTCTTCCGTTGGCATTGCTGAAAACCTTCATGACCGAAACCGTGCACTCAAATGATTCTACAGGTCTAAACTGAATAAACGCGTGTGTGCGTGTTGTTTTAGGGGCGAAGCTCCTTAAAGCGGCACCCGTTCGTCCATCGTAGTCGTAGTCGTAGTGTGTAACAAGTGTTACATTTTACCCTCCAAGGTGGTGCCAACGGGAGATTTTTTCTGTGCTTTGTTGAACAATAAAAAGTTTGCGGCGTGCGCGGTAACTAAAAGCCGAATGCTCCTGTATCTCATTCCCCATTAGCAGCCATTGGCATGTTCCAGTAGGAAACGTTAGTAGATGTAGAAGTGTTAAAAGCCGACTTCTGCTGTCTCTCATTCCCAGTAGCAGCCATTTTATACCTCCAGGGTAGTGCCTGGTGAGATTTCTCCTATGCGTCATTAAACAATAAAAACCATTTTGTTCAAAACGCCGTTGATTGATGAAATAAACCGACGAAAGACGCCAGATGTTTTCTAAAACCAAACGAAAAGACGCCAGATGTTTTTAAAGCAAAACAAAAACAAGACGCCAGCTGCTTAACGAAAGCCGCCAGGTGAAAGCAAAACAAAAACAAGACGCCAGCTGCTTAACGAAAGCCGCCAGGTGTTTTCTAAAGCAATGGTTTTATTTTATCGGGAGAATTAACGGAAGAAAATTTCACGGTATTACTTCCAGGAGCTTCGCCCAATGTCATCATCATTCACCTCGTCGATCTGCCGTATTTTTTTTTCTTTTTTGGGGGGATTGGGGTTGGGGTGGGGGAAGGGTATTGCGCTTTTCTCTGATGATTCAGGAAGGGAGAGAGCTGCTGCCTTCTTTCCTTTCATATCCTGGGCGAACTCCTATAAGACATACGGTAAACTACAGGAATGCTACCACGCGCCCCCTAGACAAACACAAGAGCCAGGGACAGACTCGTAAGAACGAGTGATCTTTATTGGAAGAAAACAGGTATTCATATAGTCTTATACTTTGAACAGCTAACTCCGCCTATGCAACATCGCAACCACCACCACCACCACTACCACCACCACCACTACCACCACCAGCCTTGAACAGCTAATCACGTTAATCTATATCCACATGGTGTAAGAGTGATAGCAATTGAATTTGATTACGTAACTTCACGAAAGAGACGAATTTTGACCTATGACGCTTGGATATATCTTCGAAGTAACATAATATGAAAAATTATGGAGATGATAACAACGTAATCGGCGACCAGATAAAACTGTGTATGTGAATACCATGTGAATATCGACCCACGTGAATAGCACTCCCAATGTTTGAGTCTATATGAATGACTGTTTTCTTCCAATAAAAGGAGAGATATCCGTAGGCATGTGTTCTTGTCACCCCTGTTTGTTTCAGTGGAGCCTTATTCCTTCAGTTAAGACGTACCAACCTAGCCCAACAAGAAGTTCTGGTTGAAGTGAAAGGGATCTTTGAAAACTGAGAAATAATTGAAAGAATTACGACGAGCTTACGCGATATTTATTCGACGATTTCCCCACCGCAAGTCGCGAACGACCCGCGTCGGCCGGGCCCCTGGCTGCCTGTTTGCATGCCCCTAATGGCCGTCCATGTCTATCGGCAAAACCGCAGAGCTGCGTATACGATACCCACACAGTACACGCACGCATACTCTCCGGTGCGGCCGTTCACTCGCTGAGCTTCTGGACACCGCAGCGGTCACGGCAGGGCCATCCCGGTGAAAAATGGAAGCCGTTATCATCTGAGGCCTTCACGCCAGAGCTCTGGTCTGCTTCGCGTTAGCGTGTCGGCGCGCGCCGTCGGCATTCCCGAGGTGCGGCGCTGCAGCCCTACAGAGCTCTCGCCCGGCTATGAGCCTCTCGATTACGGCTCGGGCCGGATATTCATCGACTGCTAGCTGCCACGGTGTATGTAATATGCGCGCACGTGTAGCACGTCCACCGGGGTTGACTGGAAAGCTGCGCGTGCAGTTGTGTACGGTTTTGCTGTGGGTGTTGCCACTGTGTGAATACTGCGTTGCGCATACGAACGGCAGTAGCGGAGTCATTTTCCGCGCGGTTACACGGGGAGCTCCATTTGCGGTTGGCATTTTGAGTGTCGTTTACATTTCGCCGTTAAGCGTTTCAACGCACGTGTAGCACCGGGGGAGCGGTCTATTTGCACTTCAACGGCTCGCGGGCACGTGACCTCACAGAAACGTCGTGGGTCGAGTGCCAAGTCGATTTCGACACTTGCTTTGGCGGGTGCGGCGCCGACAAAATAGTGGGGAGCCACGAATCGGCACGGCGTTGGTTCACGGTCCCCCTAATGACGTGAACCGTTCAATGACGCCCTAAAGAAATAGTGATATTTATGCAACATAATCAGAACCGTGCCAAATTTTACGGGGGGTATTCTGGCGTCATGCGTGACATAGCTGCCGAGGATACATGATCCCGAGTTCGTTGCAAATGGACTCGGCGGAAGCACTGACTGTGGAAGCAGCGTTGCATGTTTGTTGAAAAGAAAACTCTAGAGTCCTTGCTATAAAATTTCTTTGTATATATAAATGTCTAGTGCTCTTGCTTTATCCGGGAAATGGACGTGAGTTGAGTTAAACTTGACATGAGCATGCTTGACCTACTGCGTTTATTTATTTACTTATTTATTTTATTTATTTATCTGTTTGTTTGTTTGTTTGCTTGTTTTCTTAATTTTTTCATTTCTTTCTTTTGCATTGTGCAATGATTCCTTGTTAAGCGTTCACTTGCATCTTTCATCTCCCCCATCCCCCTCCCATGCACAGGGTAGGAAACCGGCTGCCTATAGGCTGGTTAACCTCCCAGCCGTTCTTTTCCTCCTATTTTCCTTCCTTTATCGCACGTATCGGCCGTCCCCGGAATGCTATTTTCGGACCGAATCGGCATGGCGTCTTTCACGCTCTTTCCAGCGTACGTCGACCTGTAGAAAGGCCCAACGAAAGGACCGTCACGTTATCATGAAAACGTGGGTCAGGAACTTCATTTGCTCAAAATTCGAATTTTCCTGGGTTGGGCGATTTCTGATATCCACTTCACGGGTCGTCCAGCAGTCCACTTACAGTCCGAAACAAGAAATATTCCTGTGAAGAGCCCATGTAGCAAGTCTACCGGTTCTAAACTGTATTTTGCATCGTCGGCAGAAGTCATTCGGGCGACTCAGGTCAGTTCACGTGAGGCAAGTATGGGCGCGTGGCCGGGTGGTCAAGACACTACATTTCGCGATGTGCGATCCCGGGTTCCGACCCCAGCCCCGAAACGAAAATTTATTTACTTCTTTATTTCCTTGGTGCGCTTCGGTTGCGAGTGAGGAGGGTTTGCAGGATCACCAGCTTCGCAGTTTAAACGGCACTTTACGTTTGCTATGTTGTCACCGGTGACGTCTATGACAATTCCTGACAAAATCACGTGTTGAGTGGTACGGAACGTAATGAACACAAAAGTAAGCTCAATCTGTTCCGAGATCTGCATACCGCGAGCGGGAAGTGGTGCATATGAATAGCTCGCCGTTGTAACATTGTCACTAGCAACGCGCGTGGCTATGTTCGGCTGTGGAGAGAGGGGACATGGATTTGAATCCGTGATATGTTGCTCTAAAATTTTTGCTACTTATTTATTTTTCTTTATTCCTTTACACATTTATATGAACATATACATATCCAGGACATGACGGCGACTCAAAAATAGGCCGAGAGTATCCTATAAGATTGTGGTCGAAAAAAAAAGAAAATAATAGAAGCTAAATGCGCGGCTTCT